CCCCCCACCTACAATCCCTGCAGGTACGAGACTCGAACCCGCAACGAGCCCGACTCTCTAACCATTAGGCCACGACTTCCCCCAATCAATATATAATATCAATATTACTCATCTCAGTCTATATAGCCTTGGTTGCATTGGCAGAAAGATTGATGTTAATGAAAGCCTATGCTTTCAAATTCTCTTTGAAAAGAAAAAAGTGCAACATCAAGAAACAAAATAATAAATTTTGATTTCATATGGTAAAAAAAAAATGCTTAAGGTGACATCACGGATGCCTTGTTTAATTTTTTTCTTGCTAATTTGTGTTTGCTCTAATCTTCATCCTAGCTACAAGTCTCCCCCTAGTGGAAGGATACGTTCTTGCTCCTGCTGAGCCAACATGGCGTGCTCAATGTGAGCCATGATGGAGCTCTGTACAGCGTCCATGTGACTGGTGACTCTCTGCAGAAGGTCCAGCTGGTTCTGTCTCAGCTCAGCGATCTCCCTTTGCTGGCTCCGTAACATCTGTAGAAGCTCATCCTGCACCTCTGTGCTCATCTGAGGACACAACAGCTCATTCATTCCTCACTTGTGAAGCTCAAGGACTCCCGGGTATGCTTGAGTGATGTCAGCACAGTTGTAAAAGTCATAGCAGTCACAGCAGAGCATTCATAGCACCGAGCTTGCCATGTTATTCATTGGTTTTGGTCTCCACTGCATTAATGTTTTATTTATATTATGAATCACAGTGACTGGACAGAAAACAAGCCTTCGTGCATTTTCATTGGGTTTACACAATACAAATGCTAAGAAATGCATTCGGATCGTGATGCAGGGGATCAACAGACTTACCTGGTTCTCAATCTGTCTAGACTGTGAGGACTCTCTGGGTAGGGAAAAAAACAAAGATGATCTAATCAATCACACGATCAGATTATATGTTTGAAGGGGCTCACCTTTCAATCTCATATTAAACAATATAAACATTAATATCAGTAAGATATCCATAGTAAGGAGGGCAGCTCACTCACCCTTCATCCTTCTTGCTCTTCCTCTTGAGCTTAGGGGAGCTGCGGGGAGATGTTTTCCAGTCCTTTACGGGAAGTCTGTGAGAGGAGCAAGGGCCACAGTTCCCCGAGGAAGAGGCCAGACTGGCAACCTCATCATCATGATCACTGTCCATCACAGTAGGAAGAGAAAATAAATGGAAAAGACAAAAGATCAGCACAATTATCATTAAGGTATTGAACTGACACTACAGGTGTCTGAAACCCCCTAGACACAGCCCTTAATTTGCATATTTACATCATTATCTTGAGTCTTTGAGTCATGCTCAGACTTGTTCAG